TCTGTTGTCGAACCAGGGTCCTCTCCGTTTCCAGTGGAGTGCTCCGCCAAATAAGCTAACTAGGAGTTCGACGTCAGTAGGGCAAACGGGTTTTATCAGCTTCTACCAGTCTAATACGAACAAGGGTGAAATGCCTGCATTTTTAAGGTTATGATGATAATGCAATTAATGCAGTGGTGCGAGCGAGCTGGACGAGAATGACGACAATAATCGGCGCACATAGGGCACAAGGGGGACATAGAACAAACACACATCTCCAAACACATATAGGTGACTCGCACGCGACTGAAAAGCTCCGCCTTGTTCTGGTATCGAAACAGGGACCTCTCCATTTTCAGTGGATAGCTCTACCCCTTGATACCAGGAGTTAGACGTCAGTAGAGCAAACGAGTTTTATCGGCTGCCACAAGTCTAATGCCAACAAGGGTGAACGACCTGTATTTTAAGGTTATGACGATAATGCTGATTATGTAAAAGTGCAAGCGAGAGAGACAAGAATGACCACAATAGTCCCTGTAGAAGGGGAGTAAGAGGGACAAAGGACAAACAAAAACCTCCATACACAGCTAGGTGACTTGTGCACAACCGACGAAATCCGTCTGGTCCTGGTATCGAACCAGGGACGTCCCCATTCCCAGTGGAGAGCTTTGGAAACTGAGCTGACCAGGAGTTAGATTTCCGTACAGCAAACGGGTTATATCAGCTGCCACCAGTTTAACATCAACAAGAGTGAACGGCCTGCATTTTAAGGTTATGGTCATAATTCAATTAATGCAAAGGTGCAGGCAATCTGGACAAGAATAACGATAATAATCTCTGGAGAAGGGAAACAAGGGAGACAAACGACAAATACAAATTTCCAAACACATCAAGGTGACTGGTGCGCGACCAAACAAATCCGCCTGGTGCTGTCATCGAACAAGGGACCTCACCATATGCAGTGAAGCGCTCTACCAACTGATACCAGAAGTTAGGCACCAGTAGGGCATACGAGTTTTCTGCGCTGCCACCAGTCTAATACCAACAAGGGTGAACGGCCTACAGTTTTAAGGTTATTATGATAATGCAATTAATACAAAGGTGCAAGCGAGCTTGATGAGAATGACGATAATATTCTACGGAGAAGGGGAACAAGGGGGACAAAGACACAAAAACAACAACAAAAAAACCAAACACATCTAGAGGATTGGTACGGGACTGAGAACTTCGCCTAGTTGTATTAAACCAGGGACGTCTCTATTTCCAGTGGAGCGCTCTACGAACTGATACCAGGACGAGGCAGATTTTGTCGGTCGTGCACCAGTCACCCAGCTGTGTTTGGAGATTTGTATATCTGCTTTCTCCCCCCTGTTCCCCTTCTCCAGGGACTATTATTGTCATCCTCGTACAGCTTGCTTGCACCTTTGCATTAATTGCATTATCATCATTGAAAACATGCTTCGAACATGCTTGAGCTTGAGGCGCTTCCGCAGATTATTCTGTCCTCATGTCTGCAGCTGACACGGTGTCTTTTGTATGATGCATGAGCAGTATAAGTGCGGCTTAATCCGATGTGCCGCTGCAACAATGCTACAACCGCTTAGTAACTGGAAGGTAATACAAACACGAGCTTCAGTAAGCAATAGTTTATATATAGTGCTTTCGAGATGTGCCGAAGTGAGAACCGAGCCTTCTACACCACACGGAAGTGCCAATGTGTATCAGATATTTTCCGCTTTAATAAAGTACCTTTTGAATCACACGAGCGACGGCGAAGCTTTGTGTGCCGCTGAATTACAAGCTTTCATTGTATTCGCATGCCAATGTTTTACTAAAGAAGCCCTGTTATATGCAAAACTAATCAGTGGCTAAATTATGCGACCAGCTAGTCACGTCACTAAATTGACCACATTACAGTAACTAGCAAGTACAATTTTATTTGCGAGTTGTGCTTTGTAGGGGAATCTTGTTGCCGGTTTTCGGTGAAACACCCGGTATTCGCTCTTTCTGGCCTGAGTTGAAACGTGGTGGCACCAGCGTGCAAATAGACCCTCACCGCATTCCGGTTCTGAACTAGGTTGAGGGTTTTAGAGTATCTGCGAAATTAAATAGACACGCTATTTTTTTTAAGGTGGCCATTTGTAGCACTGTCTGACATAATTAACTGCTATGATTAAAATGATGACTCAAAAATTAAAAACAATATACGTGAACCGGAAATTAGCCGGGGAGTAGGGTTTCGTTTGTTCGGTCACCTTACGCCGTCCGAGTTACCAGGTCCGGATGGGGTGACGGACTTCGTTGTGCGAAGCTGGGTGGGTCTTGTCAGAGACGAGGTTGCTTCTCTTGGCCATTGGCGACTAATTCAGTTGAACTTGGGAATTACTTTTCAATAAACAATTTAATAATTTTGTAGCGAATGCAATTACAGAGAGAAACGATACTGCGAAAATGTAACTTCCCCTGTACGGGGTAGGGAAGGAGGTGCACGGGTGCGAACTCATCCAAGCTCGGTAGTTGGCTGGCTCGTGGGATTACGTCCCGATTACGAAGACAAATGTCCCTCGGAATCCCACGACCGGGCTCAATTCCAGAGCGTTAGCTCTCGAGCTCCAGCACGAACGAAATTCACTTGCTGCGTTTAACGTCAAAGTCACTCGTGTATCCATCCCCTTTTAGTGGACCGGCGTATCCTCGACGTGACGTAAGACAGGCGCCTCCCACTGGCCAAAGGGCCACAACCAATCGGCTAACTTTCTCACCATGGGGCAATTGCTTATATTCCCGCGTGAGAACCCGCGGTCTTCGTATATCTCACGGCCAAAAGTTGGGTGGGGTCGGATGCAAGCAAACTATTTCTAGAACTCGCAAGGGGAGTCAGACAGCCGACCACGGTGTGGATAGCGCGGACTAAGTGGGCCACCCCCTATTCGTTCTGACAGACGCGGTCTGACACTGCCCTTCTTTTGCGACCCCGACACGCGGGCGAGAAAGACTACACCGATGTAAACGGTGCAGGCCAGAGCCACCGCATTCTCCCGGCCTGAAACGCACGCTCGGACTCTCTTGGCAGAGAACGCGCTTTCCGAACCTCGCGTCGTAAAGTACGCCTGTCTCTAGAGGTCGCCCACCAAGGGAAGTGTTTACGCCGACGCTTTCCTACCAGCCAAGTCTCCCTGGTGCTAACGGCCCACCCGCGGAGCCATTGTCGATCCTTATACGGGGCTACCATAAGGCCATATGTAAAAAGAAAGGTGCCATCTTGTGTACTCCTGATCAATTACCTAATTTCCACCATATTAGGGTTTCCCGTATTGATAGTTTCGCCCGAGAGACAATGGTCCTAGCAAAGTGGGATATGATCACGTGCTTCAAGTCCAGTTCGAACTCTTCACAGTACGACTTCGATAAAGACCGTTCACAGACCTACAGGGTGATTCAAGGAGACGCCAGGCTCTTTAAATCGACCGCGAAATTCGGTTTCTCAGCCTATCGCACTACGACTTTGTGCAGGGTCGCCCATGGATGGTGCTTTTTTCTTTTTTTGTAAAATTTGCAAACAGCGAACTTACCTGAGGCAAAAGTAAAGAAAAAAAAAAGACTTAGCTCCTATGGAAAAGCAGCGACGCCACCGGTCTTCAAACAAGATGGCGCCGTTTCACACGGGAGACAAGAGATGGCGCAACAAACGCCGCCAACGATTACGCCAACGAACGAGCATACCGCACCGAGAGCCGGCGTCTTTAGCAGACAATATTTTCGACTCAAAAACGGCGCGCGTTCCGCAGGCGGCGACAGTCGGAGAAACAAAAACAGGCACGGCAACAACAAAAAACTGCAGTCCCATGTCTGCTAAAGACGCCGGCTCTCGGCGTCGTATGCTCGTTCGTTGGCGGCACTTGGAGTCGCGATCGCTTGCGCCAACTCTTGTCTCCCGTGCGAAACGGTGCCGTGTTGTTTGAAGACGGGCGTAGCTGGGTTTCCATAAGAGCTAAGCCTTTTTCTTTCTTTACTTTTTCCTCAGGTAAGTCGCTCTTTGCAAACTCCCCGCCCCCCCCCCCCCCCCCGCCCCCTCCAAAAAAAAAAAAAAAAATGCACCATCTGTGGGCAACACTGCACAAAGTCGTAGCGCGATAGGTTAAGAAACCGAATTTTGCCGTCGATTTAAAGAGGAGTGGTCCCAAAATACTACCTTGTGGCACTCCAGTTGTTAATGGCTGCAAATGAGATCGCTTTTTATCTATTTCAACGCACAGGTAGCGACACTGAAGATAACTTTTAACTATACTTAGGGATCTACCACGCACACCGTACATATAAAGCTCGAAGGTCGTGAAAGATCATGTTTGCGACCTTAAAGCACACGTGCACACCCTCACCCCACAGACAGCACCGCGCGGCGCCATTTACAAACACCCATGGGGTACCGTAAAACAAATACAGAGCTCGATTCAGGGAAGATGGGATTTGGTAACTTTTGCCTTGTGCCTGTTCTGCTACCTCATGGACTGCACGCTGTACTCCTCCGGACGCTTCCCTTCGGAACCTTTTAGGGGGGGGGGGGGGGGGGGGGATGGAGGGGGAAGGGATGACTCAATGAATTTTATTTCTCGGGGTGGGAGAAGTTTACCTCCACCCCCTTCCCCCCCCCCCCCCCCCCCCCCCCCCCCCCCCCCCCACCAACTAGGCTACGTGCCTGATGGCGGCTGCCCAGAATTTTTCATATGACCTATAGCTGGCGCCACTGAGTTTGTTGTCAAAGAAAAAAGGGGCGAATATTAGGTGTATTTAACTTTTTTCTTTCGATTTGAACGGTAATATTTTATTTAGAATTGTGTATACTGGTTGAACAATACGGAGCGTGAATGTCTTAAACAACACAATATGAAAGAAAGAAAAACACATCCATGGTACAAAGAAGCTTTACTTTTCATTGGAAGCCACTCTTTGAGTTAACCAAGTGGGAGTTTTACTACGGGCTCAAATGTTAAAATGTTTAAGTTATTCAACGATTCCGGTAGTTACTGACATCTGGCGTTCGGACCATATGGACAGGAGTAACCTGAAAAATGTAATGATTACGTGAGCGTGCTTACAAATCGAGCAAGGCTTGTAGAAACCAACAAAAACAGCGATTTCAAATTTCTTGAAAATGTTGCGTTTTATATTTATTCCCAAAATGTCTTCTGAAAAATTATCCAGACCAAACTTCTGAAAATATTCGTGCATCTTAGTGTTCTTTTATGTTTAATTTATGACGTATATACAAGCATTTATCTGTTCTAGCCTGTTACACTATTGGCGACGAAATGCTTCGGTGGCATCCTCTTATGTTTCCTATCTGTGACGTCACGACTAGGATGATTGATCACCAGCGACATTTTTGATAGTGTGTAAAACGCACCGTGAAAACTTGAATCACAGCTTCCTTAACCAACACCGTTAAGGTGGATGGTAGGGCATACTCCGCATTTTCATTGAGGAATGTTGAATTCACTGTACTAAAGACGTCATATGAGCGTTTTGCCAGTCGTGGAAGGCCGACCGAAGTGGCGCTGTCTGTCGCGCACGTCGCCAATACCGTGAAAAAAACAGAATTATGCAGCAGTCCTAATAACCCAAGGCGTCCCACTATTCATGTTAACTGTACAAGGTGTCTGACTTTAATTTCAACAGATATATATATTAAGAAGTCATGGAAATTACAGTAATGCGGTCTGTGCAGGTAAATGATGATTCACTCAGCCCCGTTTTCTTACGTTACGTTACGAAAGCTTACATCTGCTTACGCCACAAGCCACCCAGATTTCTGGCGCCTCATGTTAAGCGTCGCTAGCAGTAGAAGGAGATCTCATGAAACGCAACATTCGAGACAGGAATGTCATGGTTATATAATTCAGATAGCAGCGTTTTCTTACGTTATGCATAAGTCAGCATAACTTTTGTGTCTCTATTGTCGCGCGCCAGGCTATCTCCTTAAACTAGTAGCAACGCTTAACATAAAACACAGATGTCCCGGTGACTTGTGGCGTAGGCCGACGTAAGCTTCCTCAACGTAAAGCAACTCAAGAAAACGAGGCCTGTGACTCATCCTTAAAGGGAAACTGAAGCGGTTCTGTATTTGAGGAAGAATAACTAAATTGTCTTCATTCGGCCTCCAGGATCACGAGTATTGAGATTATTTTTCGATTTTGTGCACTGAGACTGCAGAAAATCATTTTCAGAGTACCGCTGAAGCCCCTCCTTCCCGGAGCTTCAGAGTGCATGAAGCCGACACTTGGACCTGATGAAATATGGATATAGATATAAGGCGTATACGAGCTTAGCTTAGGGGCTCATCTCTTTCTTAACGAAGAGTTAAATGCATCATCGAGGGTTCCAATGTGTGTTTTTTGAAGTGCCCTTAGCATCTCCGGTTATCGTCGTGTTTTAATTCCTACACGTCTTAGCGTTCCTTAAACTTTGAACATTTCATTATTCGTATGGCGAGCTCATCATCGCACAGCAAACCTTCAGAGAAGTTATCTGTTAATTCCGCGTGTATTCGAAGCTTTAAGCGATAATGGTATACAGCGGTGCGAGGATCACGCTACTTATCACCTTGATGATCTGCTTGCCGAATGAAAGTACTTGCTTACTCTTTCCTGACGTGGAAGTATGAGGTAAAGCTTTTATTTTGCTCGTATTTCACTAGTTTACAATTACGCGGGCAGGCCCAACATCGCAATGGTGTTGTGCAACAATAATCCAGGGGACCAGTAATTTTTATATGAACTAGCGCACCTCATGCGTCGTGAAAGTTGCGAACTATTGAACCTCTTCGTAGTCACTGGGAAGATAAGAACGGCAGAGCGTTTCTCTCGAATGCCCGAACTCTAGCACGCGCTCTTTGCGTTTCTCCGTGCTTTTGCTGTGCTTGAACGCTAAGGGCTCACTAGACTACCATGTATTAGCGGAGATAGGCAGTTTGTGCTGGAGGCAGAAGAACTCAAGGACGTCCGTCCTGTTCCTATTTGTCAGGTACTGCACCTCATATTCATTGTCGTAGGTGCTCAGAGAAAAAAAAAGTAACGAAATACGTTACTCGTTACTTGCAAATAAAAGGAACGCGTTACCGAGCTCCGTGACCTGAAAATTAAAGGAACGCCTTACCGTTACCGCTAAAAAGTAACGCAAGCTACTTCTTTTTTTATAAATTAGGAATTAACACGTTTTAGTGAATTCACAGTACGGGTACGCATAAGCGCCATCGTTAAAAAACACATGCAAAGGAAAAAAAAAAATTAAAGCAGCCTGGTTGGGGAAAGGAAGTCCGAAAATGAATTTACAACAAAAAAGGAAAATTTTTCGAGCGACATTCACGGTGCGATACCAACTTGTAGCTGACACCCTCGGACGCCGCTGTTAAGTGGCCGCTATTTGTCACGTGGGGCTTGCGCTCTTTCGGGAGCTTCCTGTTGTCTCGAAAAGTTAACTTATCCTTCTTCGTTTGAAGTGCAACAAAAAACGAAGATTAATACGGAAATTTTAGAGACCAAAGAAAGCTCCTGAAAAAGCGCAAGCAGACGTGATAGACCTGTGCGCGGGTCAGATGACGGCGGCGGCGCCCCGGAGCAGACGAACTTGTGCGGCGGCGGCGACGGCGGCGTGGAGAAACGCGTTGAACCGGCGGCGAAATGCGCTCAGCGTGCGGCCGCGGCGCAGCGCCACCGCGCAGAGGTCAAGCGCGTGGCCCGCGGCAACTGCCGCGGTGCCAACTATATATTCGTTTTGCGCCATAAATATAGCCCTAAATTGTTTTTGTTCGTTGTGAATTCGTTTTATAACATTCTTTTTCCATCTAGAGTAATTAAAGAAAAGCTTTTTTTCTTTGCACGTGTTCTTTAAAGAAACATTATGTTCATGCAGAAACTGAACATAGTTTCTCTATGATTTTTTTTTTACGGTTTCACCTAAATGCTTACAAGGAAAAACGCAAAAGAACGCAGAAACTCAAAAATTCACACGGCTCGGCACCCGTTACTTGAAACAACTAACGCAAATACGTTACCCGTTCGTGTTTTTAAACGTAACGAATGCGTTACAACGTTAACGAGAAAAGTAACGCGTTACCGGTAACACTGTAACTTGTACGCGTTACCGCCAAACTGCTCATATTACATTTCCCGACCAGAAAAAAAAAAACACTTCTCTACAACCTAAAACCGACTAATACACCGGCGTCCTTGTGTGACACTAAAAATAAAAGCGTGCGAGTAGTGACGTTATCAGCTGCGCACGGCACCTTTTTCCCGATTTTTGCCTGCAATGCGCACGAAAAGGTACACATAAATCACCTGTTTGACACGGGCAGCGGAGAGTATAGGTGCCACCCTTGATCGAATCTTCTGAACACGGCATTCCGTATCCTCCTTTAGGCTGGCAGGTGGAAGAGGGATTATTAGTATTACTTGATCTTAAACAGCACAATCCGCTCCCGCAAGGCGCGCTGGGGCTACAAGGCTGGCCCTTACGTCCAGGAGTAGGACGGCGAGTAGGGCCACCTGGGAAGTGGGGTACGACTGGTCGCTGTTCCTTCAAAACGAAAGATGAAACGCCGATACGAGCAAGGTTTAGGTTAAAAGAGGGTGTCTTTCTATCTACCCAGAATGGTGATATATCAAACCATTATATAGCCATTATGTTGCACCAGGCTTTTCCTTTTTTTATGCTATTCAGCACGCGATAATAGCATCTCCCGGATCGTACTCAGTGTGTTCACAGATGCGAGTTGCCGCAGCAAGGTTGTCGCGCGTGTAGGAAGGCTACATACAGTTCCCGCGATTCATGTCGGCAGCGGTCACGTAACGAAACTGGCTGGCGATATCGGTATATTGACCTATTTAAAGTGGCGTTAACTAACCACCTTTGCGAACGCGTCGAACTAATTATTTGCTAGCATGTCGGACTACTTATCTGCTAACAAAATTGATTACTCTGTATTTTATTAGTTTTTATTTATTTGCATATACTGCCACCTCAAAACAATGGGCATAGCTAGGGTGGCGGTACCAGAAAAATGCAGATACACCTGTAAAAACAAAAGAAGAAGAAAACAGGCGAACAAAACAACGTGCTGTTACAATTACAATGGTGCCATACTGCTTATCAAACTCGTTATCGCAGGGGCACGTTAAAAAATATGGCTCAACTTCATCCCAATCGTTGATACATCTTGGGAAGAATAAATATATAAAAGTGTCGGTAAAATACGGATATGACTGAATCAGGAATGGGCAAAATACATGCAAATATATATCAAAATACAAATACACAATACTTCGTCAAAATAGTATTTAATTACTAATCTAATTACATTTCCAAAAAAGCATTTAAATACAAAATACAAATACAACCAAATGTATTTGGTCTCCTCCAAATACTTTTCTAAATACATTCCTCAAAATTTGCGTCAGCGACTTCAGGGCACCTGCAACGAGTTTCTGGGTATCTTATTTTAATTTTGCATTACACACTCGGGAGTTAGTGTGCGAGGCTCTAGTAACGTAATGTAAATATGATCACAATAAACTGTAATCAGCTTGGACGTAATAGGTGAGAAAAGTACAGAGCTTTAAAGGGGCACTCAAGTGGTTTTTGAGTTCGTGTTTTGATGATGACAGCTAAATTTAGGCGCCCTAAGTATCCCTAAAAACCAAAAAGTATAGTCATACTGTGATTCTTTCTGTAATAAAAATGTAATTGAAGGCCGCCAAACCTCGGATCCATTCGAAAACGAAACCACTCTCATTGGTCCTCGCACGCTTATCAAAAGGATCTCGGGCCAATGGCGTTGGACGACGTTCTGTCGCGCAGTGATCCCGAGGTAGCCGCATCGGCCGAACCTCTTTGTTATTCGATCTTCGACCATGGCAGAGTTCTCTACGCTCAAGGACCTGACGCCGTTAGAGGTTGAAATTCTTCGGCGGACAGCCGACCTGGGGATGATTTCCTATGACGCCACTCCGACGTGCGATGTGGACGATAGCAGCGCTTCGGAGTCATGTTCGGGTTCCGAGGACGACGAAACGCAGACCTTTTCGGGCGTTCTTCGATTTGCGGTTGGGGCTAGTCGTAACCAAACCAACGTTTGACACCGCAGCGTTACCTCTAATACGTGATGTCAAACGATGTCGCCACGTTGACTTTCGCCTCGGGAGAACGGGGGGAAGGCTGGTTCAGACATGTGCAACGAGCGCGTACCTACGACTGCGTCCGTTGCAACCGGAGCGACCGGAACGACCGCTCTGCGCCGCGCGTACACACACCTGCAACCACTACAAGCGCAGCGGGTCGTCAGCACGGCGACCGCTTCTATACGCCGCCGTCAGCTGTTTCAGCGGCCTTTCTAAAAAGGGGACGCACTGCTACTCAATGCCGTAACAGAATATAAACAGAGAGTTTTCTATAGCCTAAAGCTTTATTATTACTTTTTCTTGATAGGCTTGCAGGGTACAGTGGATGAAAAAAAGAAAATAAAAATATTCCAAAAGTGCAAATATCGCCACACGCCTTTTTTACGATTATAAAAGACAATGTAATCTTAGCGGCGATATAGCAACGTAGAAATATCATTTCGTGATCAGATAGAGGTTGCGAGCGTTCAGGATTGCTAACACTAATCACTTTTGTCCGGTGATGAAAACGCGTGAAAATTCACATCCTTTATACGGTACGCGCCGGTAATACCTTGAACTTGAGCACACGCATGAAATGCGCCATATAAATAATCCGGGCGATGTTCGAGGACACAAACGCTTAGAAAGCACCACTGTAGTCGAAGTAAACAAACACGACGGCAGGGCCGTTTCTGCAGTCTTGATTATGCCGCCACGACATCGCCGCACGAGTAGGTGGATCTTCCCTTCTAGTACGTGCTGGGTTATCATAGCGACACACGACGAAAATTCACAGTCAAGGATAGCACTTTTACGCGGAACGATGAGCTTTCACCACGCCGTCCACGCCGACGATCACCACCGACGCCATGTTTGCGGATAGAAGGAGCCGGCCGGCCCGCGACCAGCACGACCGGCCTGCAACGCGCGGAGATACCTGCGCTTCCGCGCATCCCTGGGTAACGGGAAATTCACCCCCCGCGGAGGGCAAGGAGAAAACGTAGTCCCTTGTTTGTGAAACGATAATTGCAGTATCGCGTATTCTAAACGAGAAATATTTTACGTCTTGTGAAATTATCATGCACAACATATTTAAATGAACTGAAAATTGTTTCTTTAGCGAAACTTTACAAAGACCACCAAAATTTTCAAACATACGATAATTTCATTGGTCCTCGCAATTACAGAAAAGAGTCCGCACGTATTTTATTCCTGCGTGGTTAATAGGCGGTTCTGCCTTCTCAAACTGAAGCTACTCATTCACTGACACTTCCTTGACACCATCGCACCAAAAAGTAGCTTCTCCAAAAACCGCTTGAGTGCCCCTTTAAGCAACTTTTTTTGTAGATTACATTTTGGTATAGGCCAACAAAGAGCCGAGACGACCAAGACGCGCAGCACTAGCTAGATAATATTTTATTCTTGCAACTCGCACCAGTTACGAAAATCTGGACGACCCGCGCATTTAGGATGTTCCAGGCAAAAATATGGATGGAAATCAGGCTGCAAAGCACCACAAGTTGTCACAGGCACTTATTTAGCCAGTCTGCCTGTGAACGTCGATTTCGTCACTATTCTTGCCCTGGACTAGCACGGTCGTAATCACAAAGTCACTAAACGCTTGTGCTTGATTGAGAGACACTACATTCGGTGCAAAACGTAGTTTTATTGCTGCTCTAGACAGTGACAATAAATTTGAGGATGTATTTTAGCCCACAAAATTGTATTTAAATTGACCATGAAATGATTTTAAAATCGAGTTTCATCCACCGCACGTCGTAAAAGGTGTGAAAAGAAACACAAAAACACAAAAATAGGGAGCCAAAAAAATTATTTGCTATAGAACTTTTAAAAGAAAACTGGACTCTTTTGCGCCTTCCTTCCTTCGCCTGTTCACTACGATGCATCCCCGGAAATGGAGCACGTCAGCCAAATCCAGGTCGCCTATTGGGTAAGAGCCTACCTCACCAGCACCGCGATTGTAAACAATAAATAGCCGGCGAATGTTTCCTAAAAGTTTTGTTAAATAATATTCAGATCCACATTTTGTAGCATAATTAGAGATGTGTGGCGAAAATTGCCAAATTTGATAATGCTGAGAGCCAAGCGCCATCTATCGTGTGGTAAACGAAGCAACTACTGCGCGTGCGCAGTAGGGCAGGGCCGACAGTTACTTGGGTGACGGCGACCGACGGACATTTATTTTCTTTCTTTTCCTTCCTCTCAAAACTCTGACTGACTGAACGTTTATTTTTCTACGTGTTCTTCCCGCGCGTGCCGACTTCAAGCAGCAAGAAAACACCACGACGAACAAGAACGCTGGATCCACCGACTCCGACGAAGCGAGCTGCTCAGAATATAGGCCTAGCAGGCATTCCGACTCGGCGCTGCGTTGCTTCGTCGCAAGACCGTCTGCCTACGACCGGCTGGCGTGCTAAATGGAATATGCCCGCGCGACCCTTGTGGACCCTTCCCGTATTATAGTTTGATCACTGACCTCAATTCTAGATTAAGAGGTGAGGTCAATCTCTTCCCCTTGTTTTCCGAGGCAGTGTTGAGGAACACTCGTCGAAAAGGGACTTTCGTCGATTCTATCTTCTTGTTTCGTGTGATATAGAGCTGAAATAAACGCCGTATGGATTACCTTCGTAACACGGTATGTACACTTTGTTATTGGTATGCCATTTTTATTCTGACAGACTGCACGTCACTGTCAAGCTATAACAGTTCGTGGGAGGTATACGTACAACCCCGGTCCAACCTTTTTTTGCCGAGTGTCGCGTCAGTATCGAGTTGCAATCGTAAAAGAACGGTCCCGAAGCGCTTACAAACAGCGCGAATACAGCACTTCCATCAAGCGCGCGCGTCCGCTCCGAGTGTAAACAGGTATTTACGTAGCTCTTGCTGACACTCGTAGTTCAAACGTATCTTTTTTAACGTCGGCTCGCTCCTGCATCTCCGAGGCCGCGAAAAACGCCATCTACGTCGCTTTGCAAACGACTGACACGGGCCGGCCCTTCTGCCAACAATGACAGGGTGGTTGACTTCTGGAGTCTTCACCGGAAGACTCGCTGCACTTCCCAACAGGCGTACCGGCGTATGGGACTAGTCCCATGCTGTCGCTGTAGCGCAACATATCTCATTGAATTTCGCTCAGCTGCGATGCGGCGATGAGAGGCGCCGATTCAGGAAATACGTCGGTGACATCAGCGCAGTAAAACCTACCGGCGCACCCCAACTCGTTGCCGCTAACACTCCCATTCTCCTACTGCCGAGAGAACTTCCGGTTCCGGAAACGGCCTACGTCACGGCTTGTTTTGCGGTCAGTTGGAGAGAATGAAAAAGTTGATATTTCAATAATTTTTTGTGTAGAAGTTAATAAACTGAGACAAAAACGGATGCCTGTTCGGCATTCAGTGAACATTGACGGTTTAATGTAAAAGTTATCTGGAAAAAGTAAAAAGGTCATTTCATGGTCTCTTTAATTACAATTGTATTTGAAATACCCACGTTTTAGTATTTAAATACACACGTGAAATACATTACCCAATCTGTAATTAAATACAAATGCAAAATACACAAGGTATTTGAAATACGTATTTCAAATACTTGTATTTGAAATACCGCCCATCCCTGGACTGAATGTATGTGTTATTCTTTGTGCGAGTAAGAAGTCTGCGGGAGTCAGCTGGTACGCCGGAGTAGACGTTTGTTGACATATCGGTATTATGCAATCCATTTACTAATTTAAAAAAAAAAAGATACTTTAAACGATGTGTATTCATGTGTGTCTTGCTTTGAGGATTGTTACTGAGTCTGTGGAATGATAACGGTAATGATAAACCTCACTGTCTCATTTTGGACTCGTTCAAGATAATTGATGTTGCTCTGAGTGAAAGGATCTCAGGGCATACTTGCGTAATCTATGATTGGTAAAACAAGGGTTTCAAAATCAGTTAACTTAAACTCCGGTGTTGTGTCCTCCAGTGATCGTCTTAAAGTTCACAGCATAAACATAGCCTTATTACATACTTTTTCCACTTGCAGGTTCCATGAGAGGTTTGATTGTATGTACACACCTAGGTATTTGTACTCCCTTATCTTAGAAAGCTGCACGTTGTCAAAACAGTAATGGAACAGTAAAAGACTTCGCTTAGGTGTAACAATCGTGCTTACTGCTCTTCATCTGTTTATTTCCATTTGCCTAGCTTGACACCGATAGAAACTTTATTGAATTGTTGATTTAGTCTGATCTGATCGCTTTGAATGTTGTCCTTTGTGATAATAATCGTATCATTAGCAAAGTGATTTATTTTTACTGCCGGCTCGAGTCCTACGCACATTTCATTAATATAAATAATAAATAGCAGTGGTCCTAAGACGGACCCTTGTGGAACTTCGGAAATCACTGGCAACGGTAGAGCTTTCGCGTTTTAATTAAAAAAAAAATTGGGTTCTTCCAATTAAATACGCTTCCAACCAGCGGATCAGCTGGCGGTCCTTAATGATACCTGCATTTTACATGACAGCTTTTAATGGGACACCCGATGAAATGCATTGGTAAATCTAAAAATACTACATCTATCTGTCCCCTACTAAGAATGCAAGCTGGTTTCAATCGTGAAAGACCTCACCAAGCTGTGTATTTGTAGAAAGCCCTTTTCTAAACCCTTGCTGATGTTTATTTATCATTTGGTAACTCTCCACAAAATTTGATAAATTTTTAGCAATTATGTGTTCTCATAATTTACAAGAAGTGCTTTTAATGAAATCGGACGGTAATTAGTAAGTAGTGCAGAATTGCTTTGCTTATAAGTCGGGATGACCTTACTACTTTTCCAGTTGAGAGGAAGAGCACAGTCTTCAAGAGATTTAATAAAAATCAACGTTAGATAATGAGAACCTTTTCAAAAAATTTAGTGGTATGTCGTCTGGTTGGCACGATTTATTTATATTCAACTACAAATGGTTAAATACTCCCTCCGGTGTTACTTAATTTACTTTTATCAATTGAATGGGAAGACAAGTTAGAATGAAAAATTGTAATTTGATCATCATCTCTGGTAAACAACGATTGATAGTATTCGTTAAACAAGTTTCCAATCTCGTCCGTATCGGCAGCTTCTGATTGTTCTGTTAAAATTGACGTTAAATATTTCTTTCTTGGAGTTACAACCAAAACTTATCGGATACTGATTCCATAAAAGTTAGAAGCCTTATTGTAGTATAAAAGGACTTCGGCGAGCGAACCGCATCTTTCAGCTTTCGAGATTACGCAAACACTTCAGCCTTCCCATCGGGAGTACTCGCGCCACGGTAAGACTTCTTTGTTGTTTCTTTCTAGGTGTATCACGTCTCTCGTTATCCACAACATGTTTATGCGCTTTTTCTTTACACAAACGAGAAGAAACCGTTTTATTTCTTCCTGTATTGAGTCCTAAACCTATCCCAGAGCAGGTCAGTCGACGGAGATAAAGATTTCGCAAAATTTTCAAACTCTGAATAGCGAAGGTCGAGAATTCTAAAATACCTTTATCATCGGCCCCACCAAAGTACGGCCCCATTGTTACATATTTTGGTTTCTGCTGGAATAAATCCAGTGAACAGCACATAATTACTGCACAATGATTTGAAATTCACTCGTATATCGCCGGTATACGTGAACTGTGCCATTTCGTGGATAACAAAAATTAAATCGACTGTATTTTGATTATGCTAATTTTTTCAACGTGAATTTGTGTCTTCCTAATTTGTAACGAGCTATAGACCCTGAAAATATTGAAATAAACAAAAACATCGCAAATAAATAGATCACTGAGATTCATTTAAGCAAAAGGCAAGACCGAAAGAAATTCCCCGTACTCTTTTAAAGTTTACGCTGCAACATTGGGCAAACGTATATTAATGAAATGCTTATTGTTACAATGCAATCATCATTTTTGGGTTACCAAATTTTTTGTCCTCGCTATCATATGTGCTTCCTCTAAAGATCGCTGTGACTGTCTAAAATAATCCACTGCTTTATGTATTCTAGGCATATGATTATTTTTAAATTTAGTAATATTTTGTCGAATCGCTTCTGAGCGTTACCTGTGTCTTTCCAGTTGCAAGCTACCATACTGGGCGAAGAAAACTCACACCTACCTGAGATGAAATCAGATCGGCCGGCAGAGAGGCCGCGACAATTTTACGTTTTTTTTAGTAGTACCGTAAAACAAAATTTACAGTACGGTACCGAAAGTTTACGGTACAATGAAATTAAGTTACACTCTACTTTTTACTTTTAAGAGGAATTATTCATGTTGTCGGTGCATTTAAAGTGTGAACGCACAATCGGAACTATGCTCTATTCTGCAAATTTCATCAACAACGAATAAAAATGCGTGAAATCACTCTTTAAAAGATTAATTTCTGTCGTAATTCGTGACTGAGGCTTGTAGCTGCAAAATACTTAATTCAAAAGTAACGCAAAGACAACGTTATTAGTTTTCAGAAGCAACGGTAAAGCTACTCTGTTACATTTTAGAGGAAGGTAACAACTTTATCTAACGTGTATTTTCTTTTCCTTTTTTTGGCGAACCAACGAGCACCGATACATCGGCGCTTATTTTGTAACAGGCACAACACAATGACCACACAACGACGCACATCGTCGTTGTGTGGTCGTTGCTGTTTATAAAATAAACAAAAAACAACGACGACGATGAACCCGACGACAACAACAACACTTCTTAGTGTCGGACACGTTGGTAATAGTTGTAATGATGTATCTCTATTTAACAGGTTCATTGTGACTAGACACACTCCTGTGCATTACTTACCGAGCAGATGTCCTGAACATGTGCGCGTTAACGAAATATGAACGCCTTGGTGTAATAAGCACCGGCGTTTTGTCCGTCGACAAGATGACATAATAAGTTTGGTACCTCGAAAAATAGTCTGGAGGGTCACTTGTCCCACGGCTCCACATTTGTAGCCAGTTTGGGGCGATCAGCAACCAACGCAGTTACCAACAATGCGTATATTCAAACTTATCCGAAAAGGTTTACTGATTGTCTCTTATAGGGTTCACACAACATCAAAATCCAACCGCAGTCTACTCAACACGTTTGAAAACAGCACCGGACGAGCCAAGGAAATTTCAAGCGTCTAGAGAGATCGGCATTAAAATTATATAAAATAAGCAATGCCAGGATACTATCGAAAGTCAACAATATGCATAAAAGTGCAGGAGGATAGAACAGATATGATGTTTCTTCAGATATTCACAAAAAACATCAGCAAAAAAAACCTTACTTGAAAATCGGCGGTGACATCATCCAGCAGTGCGGCCACGATGACGGTCAAAGCAAGCGCTAAGCAAAATGTCTTCATGGCTTGGCTTTTGCTGCTTAATCTGCAGTCACACTGTAACCTGAAACCAATCCGGGCTTCTTTTTATACGAAGAAAAACTGAAGGAGGAGGAGGAGTTGAGAGCTTGCGGTGACTTCAGTACATCGAGCTCTGATTGGAAGGATAGCTTCCAGTTGCAGATGCTGTCCACCTTTTCCCAAATGCCAGGCTATGCGCGAGGGGCGTTCGAGGCATTTGATCGCACTGATTGGAGGGGGGAAAAGGAGTACTGTGTCGAGACAAAGACGGCTAGTCTTCGCTTCTACCCATTAATTCTTCATATTAGCGCTGGGCGCTGTGACGTCACCGCATGTTCTCCTCCTCCTCCTCTTCAGTTTCTCTCTGTATAGAAAAAGCCTCTCCTCCCTCTTCCGCCCCAGCAGATATTAAAATGACATGTGACCTTTTCGCATGACGCAGGGAAGCTGCCTTTCCGCGCGTAAAAAAAGAAAAAAGAAGAGCAATATCGTCGTTTTGTTTTGAGCATAGGATGCATTTTGTTTCGTGACATTTAATGTGCAACCGTGAACGATGTTCTTACGGCGAATGTCAATACGAACACGGTATGGTTGTCACGGTCAAAATTTTGTAAAATATGCTTCTTAACCTCCGAAGCTTCCAGCAGTATCATACCGACGATTAGTAAGTGTCACATGAGTATCATATTTTTTGTAAAAATATCTCGCAGAGTTACACTACAGATATTAATGGGGTTGTCTTTTACAGCGATAACTCCATCTTTGCGACTTAAGCGCAATGAAATCCCAAAATTATGCACGATGTAGTTCTCTTATCAACGTGATAAAAGGTAGCAACATGTTTTTTTTTTCTGCTAATTAAAAAAAAAAAAAAACTAGAATGTCGTGATCATTGATCAGGAGTAAAAAGGCGAAAGAAGTCGGTGATGATTGTAGTTTTTTTGTTCTGAGGTCGCCTACACTTCGTCTCATCCTACGATGGACTAAAGCCCGCCAGGTTCAATCACGAGCCTGTTAGAAACCACGTGGTATATTTGCTCCGTCATAAGTAAAAGCGCGCCAAAACGCGCCATGCGGAGGCGAGTTTTTTGTCTGCTTATCGAGCCCTCGCGGCGGCTCCGTCTGCTTGCTACTACTCAAGACTGCTGAAAGGATTAAACACCGTCTCGAAGCGATGGGAAGAAGAGAATGTGGGGTCAGAACCAGTGGCCATTAAGAAATGAAGATGGGTCGGATAGAGTGTTCGACATGGGGGCGTATGTATGAACCGCGCGCGGAAGGGAGATGCCGGTCCAGGCATGTTTTTCGTACACAAAAGTTGGATTCGATTTGATTGTTATGGCTCAGGCAAAACGACTTTGTCAGTGTTGCCTGCGCGCCTTCCAACTTCCCCAAACAGTTTACATATTTAAAAATATGGCAAGAACGTTTATTAAACTAAATACTATGTATTTTTATTTTACCAATATAAAATAGTGCGCTCTCATAACAGAGAACCATATGCGTTATATAAGTGCCCTTCGTAGTCTGCGTATCGGAATATCTCACGCGCACTCTTTCACAATGCGGATGTAAGCTTTATAAGTCCATCATAAGTTGAAAAGGAGCATAGATGGCATAACTTGAGTGTTACAAGGGACCCAACTTATTTGTTCATTTATGTGATAATATTGCTACCCCAACCCCACTGAAAAAAAAAAGAATCTATATAAGAACTGGTAGAAAATATCCAAAAACTGATATGAAATCTCCAAAAACAGATATGTGGCATATAAAGCTAATATAAAATATCTCGAAACTGATGTGCGACATATAATAACTGATATGCGACATATGCCAACTGATAAGCAACATACAAGTTCATATGTGTTTTAAATATTAAGCTTTATAACTTTCATGTCAGAATTTGCCATGTGAACAATAAGCATATCAGAACCACATTGTTATAATTTTTTTCAGTATACGACGTGACGCGCGGGCAAGCAAACACGTGGCTTGGAAGCGTAATGGACCAGCCTGATTTATTGGATTTCAAATAATTACGCCATGAGCGTTTACTTTTTACTAAGAGATTCTCTCCCTGAGCCGTTCAAAATACTCTCAATGTCATGACATTACTAAAAAAGTATCAACAATCTGGGAATATCATTTATTGCTGAGGTGGTAACCGAGAAAATCCGTACCTTCAAAACGATTAGTATAAAAGGCGGAAACGCAAAACTCAGAAGTAGTTATCGGGCGTGCTGTTGTAGTCACGCTCGTTGTGCCGTGTATCTGTATTGCTCAATGTTATATGTTCAGCTGCATAATGTATGCATAATGTATCTACATGTGTGGTAATTGTGGCGTGAGCAAATAAAAACATTTTTGTAGCACATAAACTGGGCGGTGGTACCTAGCGCCACCTAGCCTAACTGAATGATATATGCGACATATGAAACCAATATGAAATTATACGTTCTGATATGAAAAGTGTGTTCAATAAACATATCAGAAATAAATTTATATAATTTTTTCAGTAGGAAATACAGGTGTATATTAGAAGTAGGGTACAGATAATACAATAAAATTGGAGAAATCAACATATCCCAAGAGGCGGCCAGCTCTAGTTGGGTGAGGCAAATACTTCATTGCGTGCTCCGTCTACACCTCAATCTTTCTGCTTTTGGTAACACCTTTTCGCACGCGTAGCCGAAGCCAGTTGAAAGTCTCCAGGTGCGTGCTGGGAAAGGAGCTTCCACTCAAATCTTAGGTTGTCACCGTTTCTTTTACAGGAGGTGTGCTTAGGCGTCTCCATAAGTGACCTTCAATATTTGTTTCCCTTATTACGTTTCTTTCACTTCGTCATGACCACAGCAGGGCAGGTTATTGCGATTTTAGATTCTACTGTTTCCTTCTCCCCAGCATTGGCCTTTGTGGTAGCTCGTCAGCACCCGCTTCAATGACTAGGCATCCGGGTAAGACAAGAGAGTGTGAGCATTGGCGGCTGTAATCTGGGGTGTGTTCAAAGGGTCTATAGTGTAGAACACCCTCGAGAGAACTTGAATTGGTGATAATCTGAAATAAGTTATGGCAGTTCATATATGGTTTGAGGGAGAACAAATTTAAAACGATCAATAAGAAACTGAAATTTATTTACGTTTTTGAATGTGAAGCTCTAGTGTTTTCTCTAGTCGAGGAACTAAACTAGTAATCGGTGTTAATATAAAAGTTTCCTGCGATGATTTGGTAGAGACCTCTCAGTCTGTCATTTCTCGCATAGTGTCGAAGAGGAGCTGGATCTTTTTGATTTCACAATGGCGACGGCGTGTCATGCCTTTCAACTTGAAAAGAAAGTGTCCTCATGTGTATTATTTTTCAAGTTTATGTATAATGTAAGCTGTGTATGTTTCCTAAACGACCTTAGCACATTACAGTGTAGGCCAACTTAATGTTTTAAGAGCAAGTGATTCACTTGAACGTTTTACATTTGGGGTGATATTTTTATATGCCATAAGATATTTGTAGCCTCGGAGGTGACGAACACAATCTGGGAGTTTTAAGAGAAATTATTTGGAATGTAAATTATTCCTGCTCAGGGATCTTGTGAAGTGTATGTCCGTCTAAGCTGTGATTATACAAGCCAGGATATTTTTCTTTTTGCGCGATGTTCATAATTATTCACTTGAAGGAGTTCAGAATTATCTGCAAGGTTTTCTACCAGCTAGCGAGTTTACATAAACATATGCTTGGTTTAAACTGGTTGTCAGGGGAACTTACAATGCCGTATAAAATGCAATTACACAACAACTGTCTATTGACATTCATTTCTGAAAATATCTATATTATCAATAAACGATAAAAATAACAGAGCAGAAAGAATAGAACCTTGTGATACAACAAATTAACGTTGCACCTATCTAAAACAAAGCCCTCTAGAGTAAACAAAAAACAACCGCAACTGCACAAACAATAACAAATTGTTGCCTAATTGCCACAGAGACTCTTAGCTAGTTTAAGCTATTTTTTTTTTCATTTTAGTATCGCATAAAATTTTTGTAGCAGCTTACTATGCGAGACAACGACAAGCGCTTTTTTTCAAATTTTAAAATACGACGTTAGCATGTTTGTTTTCATCGAGTCTGGAAGCAAAGTCGTCAACATTAACAGAGGGAGACAAATCCGTTATAGCTGGCAGTGAGAGTATCTAGTATGAAAGTGCTGTTTTCGGTCAAGTGCCTTCCGGTTAATTCCGGATTTAAACAAATAAATGTTCAATAAACGTTTATTAAGAACCCTTTTATGGTCACCTAGACTTTCTAATGTAAATAACAAGATTATTAAGACAGTTCATGATTAACACAGAAAATACAGAGTTGATTATATTTCACCTCGAAGTCTTTTTGGTGATAGAGTAAATGAAATATAAACGCAGTATTGGTAGACATTCCGAACTGCTATAATTTTGTGCACCGGCTGAAAAAACTTGAAATTTATATAAAAACAAAAACAAATTCGGTCGTTAGTACCTGCATGACTTGGCAAATCGCTCTTTATGTCTCCCAAGAATGAAGCATGGTTCTTAGCAGGTCCGTAAACCGCATCTACTTGGGGGGATGTTTCGTCAAGCAACATTTTTCACAACAGCATTCCTGTTGACTCTTGGTCACCTCTACCTCATTTCACCTTAAATTCAAGCATGACCAAAGCCTGAAAGACAAACAAGTGCATACACACAAACTACAATCGTAAAGTCCCAGCGCACTGTCTGCACTTGATTCGATGAGTCGCCGGACGAACACGTACAGAATTTAGGTAAATGGTCAGCTAGAACGAGAGGGACAAACACAGACAAGGAGAAACAGAGACATACACACCGCTGTGTGTATGTCTCCGTACAGAAAGCGTGAAGTTGCTATGTCTGCTCTGCATGACTGGCACCTCGACTCGTACCGATCGGCTGCGCTCGGACTTTATGCGGATCGAAGTTTAGCTGAAGGTGTGACATGCCCTTTTGTAAAATG